GCCATCTTCCACTGCTTTTCCTGGGTCAGAAGAGGGGCAGCGGAGACACGATCCGCGCCTGTATGGAATGCCGATGCCAAAGGCGGAGGCTTAGCCCACTACACCACGGTGCCAGCCCTTGTTGTGGGCCTTCTGTGAGTGAACCAGCAAATGGGAGATCTCGCTCTCTCTTTCTCTCTCTCTTTCTGCTTTCAAAGAGGGCAGTTCTCTGTGAATATCCCCACTTGGTGGGTGGGGAAGCAGGTGCAGAGACCAACCAGACAGGAGGTGTGGCTGCTGTGATGGGAAGTCACTCTCCCGTGGTGTGAGGGATGGAGACACCACTAGCAGGGTTGGGGGTCTGGTGGGGGGAGCGCCCTCTTCACCTACCCAAGCTTGTGGCCGTCGTGGTTTTTTTTTTTTTTTTGGACAGGCAGAGTGGATAGAGAGAGAGAGAGAGACAGAGAAAGGTCTTCCTTTGCCATTGGTTCACCCTGCAATGGCCGCTGCAGCCGGCTCACTGCACTGATCCAAAGCCAGGAGCCAGGTGCTTCTCCTGGTCTCCCATGTGGTGCAGGGCCCAAGCACCTGGGCCATCCTCCACTGCACTCCCTGGCCACAACAGAGAGCTGGACTGGAAGAGGGGCAACCGGGACAGAATCCGGCGCCCCGACCGGGACTAGAACCCGGTGTGCCGGCACCGCAAGGCGGAGGGTTAGCTGATGGCCTTAAGTGTTCATAAGTTGGGTAGCCTAATTGACTGGCTTCATGTAATGCTCAGCATGACCACTAGAGGGCAGCACCTGCTAACATAATACTCCAGGCCCTCTGTAGCCAGAGGTTCTCCATGGTTTTGAACCAATCGCTGATGGAAAATATTTGGGAGGAAAAATGGTATATAAACTAAACATGTGAGGGGCCAGCGCTGTGGTTTTGTAGTGGGTAAAGTTGCCGCCTGCAGTGCCAGTATCCCATTTGGGCGCCGGTTCGAGTCCCAGCTGCTCCACTTCCAATCCCGCTCTCTGCTGTGGCCTGGGAAAGCAGTAGAAGATGGCCCAAGTCCTTGGGCCCCTGCACCCATGTGGGAGACCTGGAATAAGCTCCTGGCTCCTGACTTTGGATCGGCGCAGCTCTGGCCTTTGCAGCCATCTGGGGAGTGAACCAGCAGATGGAAGACCTCTCTCTCTCTCTCTCTATCTGCCTCTCCTTCTCCCTCTGTGTAACTCTGACTTTCAAATAAATAAATCTTTAAACTGAACATGTGCAAGATGTGCCAGCCTTTTCTCTTGTCGTTATTTCCTAAACAATGCAGCAGAGCTACTATTTACATAACATTTGCATCGCATTAGGTATCACAAGTCAGCTTACATACGTTCTATGCAAATACTATGCAGATTTAAAAATATATTTATTTATTTATTTGAAAGGCAGAGTTACAGAGAGGCAGAGGCAGAGGCAGCTGTTAGTGAAGTGTTCCTAGAAACTGTGCCTGGTGCTGCCCCAGGCACTTCACGGGTGCCACCCATTGAACCGTACAACCTTGTGCTGTTAGGTCTCTACTTAGAGTTGAGGTCTCCGGGCCAGGCTCACACAGCCCCACACTTCCCGCAGCCCGTGACTGCTCCCGCCCTGCTGCCTTCCAGCCCGTGACCCTCTCTCTCCACGGTCAAGGACAGAGCGCGCTCCCAGGCTGTGTCGCCTTAGGCTCTGAGCCTTGAGGTCCTCCTTGTGAAACTCGCGCTAACGAACCCAAGTGGCCGTGGTGATTCCAGGAGAAACGGCTCACAGGGGGTTAGCGTTGTGGGGTTGTGACTTCTGATGAGCGACCGGGGGTAAGGACGCTGGCGATGTGGATTCTGCTCCCAGGACTTTTTCAGAGGGACGAGATGCGCTCTAGAATGTTCCATCTGGAGGTCATCGCTGTGGTCGTCTTTGTGCGAATGCCTAACCCAGAAGGGATCCTTTTCCTGATGGGGTCACACTGGGGGCTGAATCTCCCCAGATGCCTTCTGTGGCCCCCGACCCTCCCTGCACCCACGTTCTCACCTCTTCTTGCCATTCTCTGGTGTGCCTGGCACATCTGGTCTCTGTCCCTTTGCTCAGGCAGGAGCGCCCTCCCCACTCCCATGTCCTTCCTTACCCAGCCTTCAAGGTCCAGATGGTCCCAGCTCCATCCCAAGACACAAGTCACCTTGCGCTGTGGCACCTGCCACCATCACACTCCCCCCTCTCCTGGGCCGAGAGAACCCGGATGGAACTCTTGCCCGTGTGTCCAGCCCTGCTCCCAGCATTGCCTAACGCTAACCCCTAACAGTCCTGCCCAACAGGTGCCGCCATTACTACCTCCCTGCAGGTGAGAAAGTTAACGTCCACTCTTGCTGTTCTTGGGAGCGCCTATGCTAAAAACGGTATGGGAGCTAGCTGGGGGAATGCGGAAGTAATTGGCCTGGGCCCTGCTCTGCCGTGCCCTAGGCTTACCTGTGGGCTCCAGGTGAGGCTTAGTCCTTCCCCAGCTTTCTCTGGGCCAAAGGGAGGAGGCCTGTGGGTGGCCAGTGATGTTTCTTTTCACCATGGCCTCCCTCAGGGGGCGTCTGCCGGTTATTCTCATCTGGCCTTTCGGTAAGGTCTGGGCAAAGGGGCGCCTTTGGGAGTTGGGGGTGGGCACTGGGGCCCCTTCCTCCTGCCCTCCCTGCTCCTACCTGTCACCTGTGCAACTGGGTGAGTCCCTTGGAAGACAAACATGCCCCAGGCAGCCCGGGGGCATGACAGGAAGAGGTGTCCTTCCAGGGGACCTGGCCTTTGACCCTCAGCGCCTTCCGCTGCATGGCACAGATGTAGCCCCCCCCACGGGAGACGCCACGTGCTGGGGGTGTCCAGGGAAGCATTTAAGGGGCAGGGGCTGGGGCCGAAGGAGCTGCAGCTGGGAACTGCCACAGGTGGCCTGGCCTGAGAGTGCGTGTGGGGCGCCCTGGGCTTTCGGCCTCAGCCGCCAAATGTGAACCCTCCTCACTGGGCAAGAGATGGTGGCAGTTCAGGCCTTTCGTGCCCTCGCTCTGCCCCCGGCACTTCTGGGCTGCTGGAGCTGGAGCCCCGGGTCCCGCCCAGGCCTACCAACACAGCAGGGAGCCCGCAGGCCCACACCTTCCTGCCCCCGCACTGCCTGCTGGCCGCTGCTGGAATGGGGAACCCACTGGCCAAAGCTGAAAAGGGGGGGGTCTCCTTCCCTCCCCAGTGCCACCCACCTGGGAGACCTGGGTGGAGTTCCTGGCTCCTGGCTTCAGCCTGACCTAACCCTGGCTGTTGAAGGCATTTGGGGAGTGAACCAGTGGATGGAAGACACTCTCTCTCTCTCTCTCTCTCTCTCTCTCTCTTTGTGTGTGTGTGTCCCTCTCTCTCTGATGCCCTGCATTTCAAATGAATATGTAAATGTATATTACTCTTTTTTCTTTCCAATTGGACAACCCTTCTTCCTCATCTCCTCCCCTCCTGGGAGAGCAGCCCTACCTGTCCAGGTGAGTTGTTAGAAGTCACATGGCGTGGGAGGAAGGCGTGGGTTGGGCAGTCTTAGCTCCAGCCCCATTTCTGCCACCCATGGGCCGAGGGAAGCCGGTCCCGTGGCTTTGGGAGCTCGGCTTCCCATCTGTGTGATGCACGAAACACGATCCTGAGCCTAGGTGCAGGTGGAAGCGAGCCGACGGGTGCCGAGGACCGGCTCGCTGAGCCCTGGGGTCGTGCGCGTGTTCTCAGGGTGCCCCTCGTGGTCCCCAGCCAGCTGCCCCCTGTTTTCAGGTGTTCTCTGGCCCCTGCTGGCAGGGCTTGGCTCAGGACCTAGAGCTAATGCCAGCAGCTCGGCATCCCTGACGTGGAGCAGGAAGTCGGGAAGGAAACCCTGGAGCCCTGGCCTCTCCCATGGTCAGCCAGGGTCTTGGTGGGTGGCAGGAGGGCCACGTGAGCAGGGGACAGGACGCAGGGCTTGGGAAGCACAAGCCCCGCCCCTCTCTGCCGGGGGTCTCCTGGGCAAGCAGCTTAGGCACAGGGGGTCTCCATGCTCTGGCTGCCCAGTGGGTCCTGCCCACAAACAGGGATGGAGAGGGTGGCGCCTAGGACACTTCTACAGCAAGATGTGTGACCACCAAGCACTCCTGGTCCCCTTAGGAGCTGCCATTCTGGGGCAAAGAAGAGCAGTAAAATCAAAGCAAACACACACACACACAGCTCCTGGGTCCTGGATGTGCCACTGGAGAACTGTGTGGTGCAGTCTGAGGGGCTCTACTTCCCCGAGACTCAGTTTCCTTATCTGTAAAGCCGGTAGGTACCATAAGGAGCCTTGGGGATGGTGTGGGAATGACATGAATAGGGCGGGCATTTGGTGCAGCCATTAAGTTGCTTCTTGGGATGCCCACATCCCACGTAGGAGGGCCTGGGTTCGAGTCCTGGCTCTGCTTCTGACCCAGCTTCCTGCTAACGCACGCCCCAGGAGACAGCAGGTGATGGTGTATGTACTGGGTCACTGCCTCTTGTTGGGGCTCCAGGCTTCAGCTGGGTCCAGCCCTGACTGTTACATACATTTGGGGAATAAACCAGTGGATGGAGGATCTCTTTCTCCTTGCCTTTTTTTTTTTGACAGGCAGAGTTAGACAGTGAGAGAGAGACAGAGAGAAAGGTCTTCCTTCCATTGGTTCACCCCCAAAATGGCTGCTACAGCCGGCGCACTGCGCCGATCCGAAGCCAGGAGCCAGGTGCTTCCTCCTGGTCTCCCAGGTGGGTACAGGGACCCAAGCACTTGGGCCATCCTCCACTGCACTCCCGGGCCACAGCAGAGAGCTGGACTGGAAGAGGAGCAGCTGGGACAGAATCCGGCGCCCCAACTGGGACTAGAACCCGGGGTGCTGGTGCTGCAGGTGGAGGATCAGCCTGGTGAGCCATGGCACCAACCAATTAGTTAATTTAAAAAGAGAGAGAGAATGAAATGAGGCTCATAAAGCACTTCATACAAAAATGTGTTTCATGGAGAACACTCATTACATGACAGCGGTGAATTTTTATTATGTCAGGCAGCAGCTGGAGCCAGATGTGGCTTCCTTGGCTTCCAGGAAGCCTCCTTGAATCGCTTAAAACCTAAGCTATGAGCTCCAAGGGAAGAGGGTGAGGGTGGGTGTGAGCAGCTTGGGGGAACTGATGGCCCGAGGTGGGCATCTCTGACAGGGGTTGTGTCTGGGTCTCCGGAGAGAAAGCCACTGCCAGGATTCTGGGGGCTGGGAGAATCCAGCCCCCAGACAACATCCATCTCTGCCACATCTCTGCCCACTGTCCAAGGTGCTGAACTTACCGCCGACACCCCAGCTCCTCCTCCTCCTCCTATTCCTCCTCCTCCTCTTCCTCCTCCCCCTCCTCTTTCTCCTCCCTCTCCCCCTCCCCCTCCTCCCCCAAACCCAGGAATCACTTTGCTGGCTACCTTCTGGTCTTCCACTCAACTGCACAATTGAAACATGAACATCTACTATAACGAGAGCTGCACTAAAAAGAACGTGGTGGATACGCCGCCAACCTAAGTTGTTCACGGTTCATAGAAAAAAGGAATTCAAGCACATAAATCGCTTAGGACGGGTGAAGACTAGTTTCCTGTTTCTCGCATTTCAGTGACGTCTGCATCTGGCTTTATCCTGGCATTTTCCTTTTCTGCAGCCTTGGTGTTCTCCAAGCCTGAGCCTCTCCTATGACTTTTCTCTACTCACTAATGTCAGGGATAGAAGTAGGATCATGCATGGAGAGAGAACAGAGGGTGGGGTTCTCTGAGAAGCGAGTGTGTGTGTTTGGGGGAGGGGAGCCTAGACAGGCGTGAGCTCCTCCTCGTATTTCTGCATGCCTTCGTCTGGTAGCAGCACCTCCACGGTGAAGCTGACCTTCTTGGCGTGGACAAAGCTGTAGGTGTTGTCGAAGCGCAGGACATCTGGGGGACAGACGGGGAGGTGGGCAGCCGAGGCTGGCTCCACCTCCAGCATCCCTGCCTCCCAGAGCTTTGTGTGCCAAACCGGGCCAGGTTCCCACCACACCTTTTCCCTTTCCCTGGGAACTCTCACTGCTGAGCAGAGCCTGTAAACGGAACCCCTTTCCTGGCCCGGGTCCAGGCCTGGCTTGAGTTGCAACCACTGGCAATGAGAACAATGGTTGTGGCATCTCATCACCTCCACACCTGGAGAGTCAGGTGATGGACAATGTAAGGGGAGAGAACAGGAGCCGTCACAGGCTTCCCCGGATGAAGTGAGGTGCTGGGCTAGGCTGGTTGCACACCTGTGGCCTTCTCACAGACACCCCAAGAGGCGGGGCTTATAGTCTCTGGTTCACAGGTGTGCAAACTCAGGGTCTCTCCCAAGTTGGTGAACCCTCTGCTCAGGGTTAGGCAGGGACCCCAAGGCTGAGATGTGACCCTGACCTTGCACTTAGCTCTGGACTTCTGCCCGAGTTGCTTTACTTCTCAGAGCCCCAGCTTGCTCAGGGGTGGGGGGAAGCTGCACCTGCTCTACTGTCACTTAGCTGCCTCCTGCAGCCTGTGTGCCCTCAACTCCCTCGGGGTTTATTTGACTCTGGTTCTTGGTGCACAGTAGGAGCTCATGAATGTGACCTGAGTGTGTGACTGTGTGTGAGTGAACGGCATTGACCTGGGCAGTGTGTCCCTGCTGGGGGTGTGGGAGTCACTGCCTCTCTGTTTCCTTCTCTAAACCACCTGCCAGTAGCTCTATCCTCCTGGGGCCAGGGCCCCAGCCGAGGCAGACTTACAGACTCCGGCCTCTGCGCAGGTGAGGCTCCCGTCCTCAGGCACCATGTGGGCATTGTAGCGCTGGCTGGGCAGCACCTCCGTCATCTCTCCTGCCCGCTGCCGCTCCCCCATCTTGGTCTTGAGGAAGACCCCAAAGCCGATGTCCCCACCGTCCGATAAGAACTGCCACCTGGTGTGGGGGACCAGGTTGCTGCTCAGCCTAATGGGTGCCACAGCGGTTTAGGGCCCAGCCCACAGGTGCGATGGGGGCCTGTGCCTACCTGAGGACACAGCCCGGGAACAGGATCTCGTATTCCACCTGGTGTGAGGAGCCGCGGCTGATCTGCACCGAGTGTTCGTACTGCGTCTTGACCTGGTCCCGCACGTACATGGACTTGGGGATCTCCCCACCATAGTTGATCTGCAGACATAGGCGGGCATGGGCTTGCTGTTTCCTGGATGCTGTTCACACTCGCCATCTCCTGGGGTGTCCTACTCCACCTATCCACCCCCAACCATGGGGTCTTCCCTAACTCAGTAGACTGGGCCAGCACTTCTGAGAGCTTTCCTTCCAGCTCAGCCTCTGGGTCAAACTTCCCACATTTCTCGTTTGCTTGCACAGCTGCCGAGAGCCCCAGAAGGGCAGGGCTGGAGCTGTCCAGCTTAGCATCTAGTCTGTGCTCTTGGGGTTCTCTCTCCAGATGTTTGTGGAATGAGTGGATAGCAAGGGAACCCAGCTCTGCGCTCTGACCCTCCTCTGTTTTAGGGTTCTTTTTACCTTGGTCAAACATTTGGGGTTCCCATCTGGGTCCGTCAGGGTTCCCCCAAAATGAGCAGGCAGTTCCTCAGGACTGATGAGTTTCAGCAACTCTTCCTTCCAGCTCTCTGGGGTCAGGGGATGGAAGAGTGATTATTAGACATGGAAGGGACCAGTCAGCCGTGCACCTGCACCAGGCCAACCTGAACTGGCTTCTCCAAAGCCCAGTGGAGCTAGGCTCCTAGCCCCAGGCTATCTCAGTGTCTTCCAGCCTTGTGATGTCATGGAAATGTGTTTCCCCTGGTCTGGGGTTGTGTGATTGTCTAAAGGAGATTTTAAAGCCCAATGAGGTCATGAACCTTGTTGGGGTCCCTCAGAGAGTAAGTGATGTAACCAGATTGGACTTCTTGGGCCCAGGGCTATGGTGTAAAAGGTTAAGCCTCTGCCTGCAGTGCCAGCATCCCATATGGGCACTGGTTCAAGTCCCATTTACTCCACTTCTTATCCAGCTCCCTGCTAATGCGCCTGGGAAAACAGTGAAAGATGGGCCAAGTCCTTGGGCCCCTGCACCCATATGGGAGACCCGGAAGAAGCTTCTGGCTCCTGGCTTTGGCCTGGCCCAGCCCTATCCATTGTGGCCATTTGAGGGGTGAATCAGTGGATGGAAGATTCTCTCTCTCTCTCTTTCTTGCACGCTCTCTCTCTCTCTCTGTGTGTGTGTGTGTGTCTCTCTCTCTCTCCCTCTCTCCTTCTCTCTTTAACTCTGCCTTTCAAAAAAATAAATCTTTAAAAAACAAATTTTTCTTCCTGGTGGGGGACAGCCAGCCCTGGGTCTTTGGTGTGACCTCCTGCCTTCCCCCCACAGCTTAATCACAACTTTGGTCACCGTTACTGTTCCTCATACCCTAAGCAAAGCAATGCTCGAAGTGGGTCCTGGGGTGTCACCATGGTCCCATTCCTTTCGCTAATCTCCTTTGCCATGGGATATCCCTTCCCGCTATGGCATAAGGGAGAAGAACACAATGCCTGGCACACCAGGGCCAACTGTGCAGAGCCTTGGGGGGCACCCAATGAGGGCAGAGGCCTTGAACTTGGGGTCTGGAGTGTAGTAGGATTTGGCTCCAGGATATGGCAGGCTTAGAAGGCAGGGGCCTGGAGCCCTCCATCCCAGCTGTCTTGAGGTCCTGTGAGCTCCTCATCCCAATGGACTTGGTTAGAGACAGGAGCTCAGGTATCAGGAAGGGAGAGAAGTGAGTAGGACTCCCCTTCCCCAGCCCTCAGACCCTCAGATTTCGTGACTCTGTGATTTGACCTTTCTGCTTGGGAGAAGTTTCCTTCCAAGTTCAGGGTTGTTGGTTTGGGTTTAAGAACTATTTCCCTTCTCTCTATCTTTCTCTCATCTTGTCACTCTTTAAAACAATTATTTTCCCATACAATGAATACATATTATCCTCTAAAATTGAGAAAATATAGAGCAATATAAATAAAATTTCAAACCACATGATGTCTCAGCAACAAAGCAATATTTTGCTTTGTCATCTTCCAGAAACGTATATTTGCTTTTATAAAAATAAGATGATGTTACCTATGACTATTTATAATCTGCTTTTTCTTAACTTAGGAATATTTCCTATGACATTAAATGTCCACTTACAACATTATGTTTCTTTTTGTAAAGATTTATTTTGTGAGTTGAAAGGCAGAGCACGCAACATTATTTTCCATGGTTGCTCGTATGTAATTCAGCCAATTATTTTCTTACCTACTCCCTTCTTGCCGGGACTCCCTTTTCTGAATCATGGTCACTCTCCTGCTTTTCTTCCTCATCCTCCTTCCCCCAGGCTGCCCTTAAAAGCCCTGAGGTTATGGGTGTTAAAAGGGAACTGAGGTCTGTAGACCAGAGGTTGACCAGCAGCCAAACTGAAACTGATGTGAAGACACGTGTGCAGGCCTCTTTCACTAAAGGGCTGTGGCAAGGAATAAGGTGTGGCAGCCTGGTGGACTCTGTGGGATAAGAGCATCCTCGCTTTCAGAAAGAAGGACTCTGTGGCTCCAGGTGATATGTGGAGTTCTGGGTGGAGTGACGGACCAACCTCACTCCAAAGGTCAGGTGTAGAGTTTAGGGAATGGAACTAGAACTACTTACTTCCCAACACTACAATTTTCCTGCGAGTATCCTCACTCAGGAACGGCTTCATGAGGTTGTAGCCCACAGGGAACAGTTTAGTGGCTGGAGAGACACAAGTAAGGGAAATGGAGAGAAAGTGTCTCAGTGGCCGTAGCCAATGACATAGAGGAGTTACAACCAACCATGGCTGGGTCCAATTTCCAGCACACAACAAAGCATCCAACCCACAGTCAACTAGTCAACAGATAGCCTACTAAGCAATCACCCAATCTATTAACTATTCATCCAACCAACAAATGAGCCAATCCTCCAGACTTCTAATCAGTCACACACTCAACCAGCTACCCAACAAACCATCCAACATGCCAACAAAATAGCCAATTTACCTTCTTTTTTTTTTTTTAGTCATAAAATCATTTGCCAATTTACCTTCTAATAGTCAAATACCTAACAAATCAGTCACCCAGCAAACTAATCAACCAACTGAACTGAATCAGCTAGCCACCTAATCAACTGCTCCTTCCAGCAAGCAGACCATCTGAGATTTAGCCAGAGACCACCCAGCCAACTAATCAATCTCCCATCCATTCACCCAAACAAACATTCAATCAAAATGCCAACCAGCCACTCAATAAAATGAACAGCCAGTCAACCAAGCAGCCAGCCAACTCTCCAACCAACCATACCAGCCAACTAGCCAGGCAGCCAATTGGCAAGTCAATCGGACAACCAACCAACCAACCAACCAACCAACTCACCAACTAGCCATCAAGTATCCATCCACCTTTCCATCTACCCATCCAATAACCACCAAATACCTATTTAAAATGCACCATGCCACCAAGCCTGTTAGGGATACAGCAGAGGTAGAGGATAAGAGTCCTTGCCTTAAAGGGACATGAAACTCAGCCCCCAAAAGAGGGTGGACACATAAGATAGCTGGCATGGAGGGCGAGGTCGTTGTGAGCAGGGATTCCTGGAAGAGCTGAGATTGGGGCTGTCTCTCTTACAGTTAGGCCAACCACAGGAAATACTGTTTATTGAGCACTTTGTGCCAAGTATTCTCAATGATTTGCATGGAGCCAAGCAATCAACCTGCCTCGACCTGGGACAAAGGCACCATTATCATCTTCAGGGTGCAGGGGAGGAAACGGGGGCCAGGTGAGTGAAGCCACGCGCCACACACCTTTGATGATGAGCATGAACTTCAGGGTCTCTGGGTAATTCTCTTCAAGGAGGCCAAAAAACTGTGGAACCAAGAGAGACCCCATCAGAGCCCACGCCTCATCTCTCACCCCCATCTTCTTTGCAGTCTCCCATCTGGAGGTTTCAGAGGGCTGTGGAGGGTTTTCCTCCACTGGTCCCCCTGGAAGGGACCTTCACTTCCTAATAATAATTCTGTAATAATTTTAGAGCACATGTTATAGTGATGATAGTATAATGGTAAGGATTACTTTTCAATAAATGTTCACTGTTCAACTGCCAACTCCGTTTTGGAAGCAATGGAACTGAGGTGTGGGAAGTGACTTGCTCACGTCACGGAGCAAGGGGTGGAATACTTTGGAGGAGGTGAACTCATGATCTCATTACAGTGTCGTTCCTGAGCCCTGTTCTGTAGGGTCTTCTAGGAAGCGTAGTATGGCCCTTTCTGTCCTGAGTCCTTTGTGATGGAACCCAAGGAGGCAACGGCCTTTTACTAAATCTCTGAGGAAGCAAGGTGGGCATCCAAGCAAGTGGGAGTGCCCAAGGGCCTTCTCCTTACCTCCTGATACACTTCTACCACGGGCTTCCAGAAGTGCTTCAGTCCCAGGCCCTCGCAGTCAAATATCATCACAATGGTCTCAATCTTCCTCCCCAGCTGTGAGGATGAGAAAGGAGCGGTTCTGGGGCTCAGGGTGCAGGCTTGAGAGACCCTGCAGTGTTTCCTCCAGCCCCCCACTCAGTCCTCAGAGGAGCAAGAGGTGAAAAAGTGAATGCATTTCCCCATTCATTCATCCATCCAGGCATCCATCAATTCATTTCTTCATCCATCCATACATCAGCTTATGATGGGGTTATCAGAGTATAATCTCATAAACCAAGAAGCATCTGTAGTTGCATTACTTTCTGTAATCGTTGTAACCAGTATGCATTATTATTCCTGTTTTGCAGGTGGAGAAAATGAGGTTCAGAGGAGTGAGGTGATTTTCCAAAACCATAGCTCGATCCACTCATGGGTCTGTGTACTCTTCCATACATTCATATTGCCAGTCCATCTTTCACCCCTGGTTTGTCCACCTAATAGTTAATAGGTCCTTAGTTTTTGCCAGACCTTGAGTGTAACAAATAATTCTCAATAATTTGCAGTCGAGGAGATGACGAGCAACTGGGCCGCCCCAGGCCCTGGTAACTGCCCCAGGGGAACAGCACGCGACTGTGCGAATACAGAAGATGGGGTTTACCCCAGATGCTGGCTTCAGAGGAGGTGACATTTAAGTTTGAGACCAAAAGGATCTGGAGAGTCAAGAGAGGTTGTGGGGAGGGTGTGTGTGTGTGTGTGTGTGTGTGTAGTAGGGTTGCCCAGACAGAAAGCATGATAATATAAAACCTCAAAGGGAATAACAAAACCACCACTGTTGAGACCAGATACAGGCAGTCCTCGACTCACAACGGTTCAACATAGTGATTTTTCGACTTATGATGGTGAGAAAGCAAAAAAGCATTTAGAAGAAAGCTTATTCTGGGTTTCGACTTTTCCCCCTGGGTTAGTAAAATGTACTACAATACTCTCTTGCGATGTTAAGTGTAGACTAATGTAAGTGTTTTGTGCACGTTAAAGTAGGTTCAGTGTACCACATACATTTTTGACTTTTGATATTTTCAGCTTACGATGGGTTCATTAAGACGTAACCCCATTGGAAGCTGAGAAGTCTGCCACTGCGTTATCTCACTGAATGTTTGCAGCCATTGCTCATCATTAACTGTTTCGTAGGCAAGGAAGCCGAGGCTCAGAGCAGAGGGGTAACTTCCAGCGCCACACAGCTGGCAAGCAGCAGAGCTGGAGTTTGACCCAGTCGGGGACGCAGGTGTGTTCCCGGGCCCACACCTGCCCTGGGCCTCACCCGCTCCGTCTGCAGGTCACACTCATGCAGGATGCGCTCACAGTCCCTCATCTTGGTCTTGAGCAGGTCCTGCTTGGTGACCGAGAAGAGCAGTCCCTTGGGGTCGAGTGGCCCAATGATGTCATACCACACCGGGCAGCCGTCACGGTCATAGCCACACAGCCCGCCAGGCATGTACTTCTGGATCACCTGGGCCAGGGGAAGAAACACAGAACTCGGCACGGCACACCTCTCCAGAGATACCTAAGACCAGGCTGACCTGTGGGACCCAAGCCTACACATACCCGGTACAAAGTAATACCCCTCCTCGCCTGGAGGGCGGCGCTATTGTCCTCATGGGCAAACCGAGGATCACACAGGGCCTTGCTCACAACAGGTAAATGGCAAAGCCAGGTCTCTGGGCTCCTTAGTTCTGCCCCAGCATCTGCGGTGCCCCTCGCCAGGGAGAGGATTTGGTCTTAGTGACGGGGAACATGGATTCTGAAGGTCAGCGGGTCTGGTCCGAGTGCAGACACTGCTGTGTGTCTTTCAGCAGGTGCCAGCATCTCTCTGAGCACCTCTTCTTCTTCTTTAAAATGCGTGGATAACCCCTCCCTCCTGGGACTGTTGAGCTAGGTCCCCAAGACACTGTGGCCAGAACACCTGCCCATCAAGGGAAGGCATGAGTCTCACGAAGACGGGCACAGGAACACAGGTTAACCGAGGTGGTGGAGAGCGCATGGTGAGGGGTAGGCGTTAGGCCCAGCAGTTGGGATGCCTACCTCCCACACCAGAGTACTTGGGTTCAACCCCCAGCTCTAGTTCCTGACTCCAGCTTCCTGCTCATGCCTACCAGGAGAGGCAGTGCTGATGGCTCCGGGCATTGGGCCCTGCCACCCAGGTCAGAGTTCAAGCTCCTGGTTCCCAGCTTCAGCCTGGCCATTGCACACATTTGGGGAGCCAACTAGCCAATGGGAGTTCTCTATCTCTCTGTCACTCAAAACAAAACAAAACAAAACAAAAAGCACACATTTAACAGTGTCTGGGTTCTCAGACCTGAGCTCAATGGCCAGCCCCACCTTGGGCAAGCTGCTTAACCTATAGCTGGGCCTCAGTGTTTTCATCTGTGAAAGGGGGCAGTGGCACCCATCCCATAGGGTTGTGGCGATCACAAGAGCTCATGCCAGGAAAGCCTTACCCAGGCCTGCACCGTGCAAATACTCCAGAAATACTCATTCGTATCACAGGAGCGTTGCCTGCTGACCCTGGGGAGGGGTTCATCTGGCCTCACAGGCTCGCGGCCTATCACTCATGGTCCCCAGCCACCAAGACGGCTGGGGGCGTCGGACTGGGAGAGACCAGAGTGTGCGGGCGTTGGCTCACCTCAGGGGGCTGCCAGTCTAGGATGTGGTTGATGTCCATGGTCTTCCGGAACTCCATGTACTGAAAGGGAAATGATGGGTGAGGGTTCCCGGCACCCTTGAAAAGCAGGTGGACCCTTGAGGCACGGACAGACCTCCCCTCCCCGCTGTCCCCCACAAGGTCCCTCCCTGATCTCCATGGGGGGTGGGTTTCACCTTGCGCAACATGGCCTCCGACTTCTGCAGGTCAAAACTCCGGGCTACAGAGGGTGGGAAGGAAAGGAAAGGGTGGGAGGTGGGAGCCAGGCAGCTTACAGCTGCCCGGTCTTGCTCTGGCCAGTGGGAGCTACAGAGGACACCACGGGGCCTGGGTAGGACCTTGGTTCCTTGTCCCTTCCCCTTGGCTGGACTTGAACTTCTGAAGCAAGATGCTGTAGCGGGATCCTGAGAGCCACGGGTTGTTCTGAAGCCGTTGGGACGAGGCCCCTCTTGCTGCCCCGTCATGTCCACCTCCCCCCGCCCCGCCCTCACCTCGGAGCCAGCGCAGAAGGAAGTAGTCATCAGGGTTGGGCAAGGCGGGCAGCACGTCCTGGACGTTTTCTCGGAACTGGGGGAAGAGAGATGTTGGCTAATGCGGGTCCCTCCCACGGTGCCTTGGTCTCCAGGCACAAGAAGGTTCTCATCAACCCCCAGTGTGGTCTGGAAGGAGGAGTTGATGGGCAGATAGAAGGAGAGACGAGCCATTAGGCAGGTGCATGGGTAGGGGAGTTGATGGCAGGGAAGAGGAGTGGCTAGATGGATGAGTGGGTGAGTGGCTGGGATGAAGGTAGGGGAAGGCAATGGGTGGGTGGAAGGAGAGACAGGCAAGTAAACAGACGGAAAGAGAGATTAGTGTGTGGATGGGGAGAAGGGGGTGTGTGGATGGTTGGGGGGGTGGGTGAGGGTTGGCGACCAGATGAATTCTTGTGCTTCTCACCGAGACGTCTGCCTTTTCCCTCCCATCTTCCATGAAGCCATGGTTAGCGACCATGTGCTGCCTTCCCTGTGCACTGTGGAGATGACCCTACACTCCCCTCTGTCCTTCGGGCTCATCCAGGGGTAAAAGGCAGACCAGCAGCAGCCAAGGGGCCCGGGAGGGAGTGGGGGGGAGGCAGCGGCCAGATAAAGCTCTCTGGGTCTGGCTCTCTGGAGAGAAGCACCTACGCCATTGCCTCGAAATGGTGTCCGGCCCCCAACCCCTGCCCTGGCCAGGGCTGATGTCACTGGGCACTGTGGGACTTGACCTTTGACAGGCAACAGTGAAGAGACTAAGTGGGGGATGTGGTGGACCAAAAGAGCGAGGCAGGGTTCCAGCCTCCCCTCCCACCCCCAGCCCCAGCCCTTTTCCCCGACGGACCCCAGGAAGAGGGGTGCTCACCTTAGCCAGGGCCTCTGCCTGCTTGGGGCTCAGATCCCCAACTCGGCCACTCATGGTGCTGGTGGAGGCTTGAGAGAGGTGGGTGCTACAGGCAGAGTCCCAGCGTGGACTGGCAACCTCCAACCAGCAGGGGCCTTTTGCCCCCACTCCTGGGCGTGGCTGCTGGCCCCGCGTGCCCTCCTGGGCCAACTGTTTGCATTGCACATTGCATAACTGGGATTAAATGAGGTCCCGTGCTTGGCTCTGGGACAGGTCTGGGGAGGAGGTGGGAGTGGGAGGGTGCGCCAAGGTCGCCTGACAGGAGGAGACAGCTGGGAGGGAAGCAGGCAGCCCCATGGCCTGGGAGCCCAGGGTGGCACCTGTAGAGCCCCCATCAGGGCCTCCCATGACCTCTGCCCTGGAGAAGGGGAGTTTCAAGGGGCAGGAGGAGCGCTCCTTGTGGATACCCCATCTCCCTGAGCCTCTGTCTCCCCATCTCGCCAACGAAGAGGCTCCACACTAGGGCTGGTGCTGTCACATAGCAGGTTAAACCTCCACCTGTGGCGCCGGCACCCCATATAAGTTGTGGTTTGAGTCCCAGCTGCTCCACTTCCAGGGAGCTGCTCCAGCTCTCTGCTAATGCACATGAGAAAGCCACGGAAGATGGCCCAAGTGCTGGGGTCCCTGCCACCGTGTGGGAGACCCGGATGGGGTTCCTGGCTCTTGGCTTCAGCCTGGCCCTGCCCTGGGGAGTGAGCCAGTAGAAGGAAGATCTCTCTCTTTCTCTGCTTTTCAAGTAAATAAATATGTATTTTTAAAAGATTTCACATCCGGGGTTCTCCAGAGACCATCCTCCCCCCAGCTCTGACAGAGGAGGAGTCTGTTGGTCAGGGCAGTAAATGGTTAATTCACAACGCAGCAGGGGAGTGAGGTCCTTCTTTGGTAACAAAAGCTGGGGTCAAGAAGAAGAAGGGTGGAGAGGAAAATGGAGCTCAAAAGGTGGCCTTGGGGACAGTCTGGTGATTCCTCGTGGCTGACGCTCCTCTTCCCTGTGTCTTCCCCGTACCATCCATTGAGTTGGCCAATGTGGCAAAGACTGAGCCACCCCCAGCCCACTGTCCTTTTTACCCATCGCTTTGGTCTTAGGAGACTTGTCCAGGACCCCTCGATCACTGGCATCCAGTTTAAGGAAGCTCCACTAAGAGAGAAGTGGGGGAGGGTTGGTAGCTTTCAGCGGCCAAGGTGTCGCTTGGGATCATTTAAAAAAATTATTTTAGTTATTTGAAAGGGAGAGAGAGAGAGAGAGAGAGAGAGAGAGAGAGAGAGAGAGGTCTTCCATCTGCTGGTTCACTCCCCAAATGATCACAATGGCTGGGCCTGGGCCAATCTGAAGCCGGGAGCCAGGAGCTTCTTCTAGGTCTCCCATGCGCGTGCAGGGGCCCAAGCAGTTGGGCCATCCTCCACTGCTTTCCCAGGCCATAGCAGGGAGCTGGATTGGAAATGGATCAGCCGGGACTCGAACTGACGCCCATATGGGATGCTGGCACTGCAGGCGGCAGCTTTACCTGCTACACCACAGCGCCAGCCCCAGTCCCTTGGGATTTACACACCAGGTCAGTGAAGGGTGTGCCCTGAGGAGGGAAGGAGTTAGAGGTGGGGATGCATGTCTAGAAGGTTCCTCCTGGATCCCTGACGACCTGCCTCGCACCGTCAACCAGCTCCCCGCTCCCCTGGAAAACCTCCTCCTTGAGACGGTGGCAGGGGTGTCACTGTCCTGCCCCCTTACACAGCTGCAGGGGAGACCCGATGAGACCTGTCACGGGCTGGGCGTGTCTGCGAGGTTCCTCTCCTCTGGCTCGCAGAAGCCCTAGGAGGGTAGCGGGACTGTGACTGCAGCTTGAGACCACAGCGATGCCTCCCAGCCACATCTCTGCCTCTCAGGGGATCTTCAAGGGCTGAAACTACCCCTGGGCTAGCCTCCGCTCCACAACTGTGCTAGCCCAAGCCACTTTCTCAGGTCCGCCATCCCTAGGGCATCCTGCTTGAGCTATCACGGGCCTCCATTCTGGGCTATCTCAAGGCCCCTTTAAGCTGATGGATGAATTAATACCTGATACCTTCCTGTCGGCCCTCTTCCTTGTCCCGAGCCCCTGATGGAGTTGGGGGGTCCAGAAGGAGGGGGAGGGGTGTCTCTGGCCATTTGCCTCTGTCTGGGGCACCTGCTGTGTCACTCAGGAGCAGGTTGGTAACTGCACACCCCAGCCCCGCCCCACTTGACATTCCAGCCTCTGTTTCTACAAAGCCCCAACTGCCACCCACACCAGCTTCCTGCCAGACTGGCGACACACGGGAACAGGGTTCCTCTGCTAATCCTTTCTCCCCCTAATCCTGCTAAGGTGAGGTTCCCCAGTTACCTCCGGGGGCGCCTGAGGCTGGGCGGAGAGGGCCAGGTGGAGGGGCTGGGGGCCGGTCCAGGAGCTGAGGGTCCCTTCCTGACCCTCACCACGCACGTGCACCGCTCCTTGCTGGGGGCTCTTGGCGTCATCGCCCACAGCGCCAGCTCACAGAACTTCCTGTGACAGTCACCTGTCCCATGGGACACATTTAGTAGCCACATCTGAAATGGGGTTAGTGCCATGGAGCTGGGTCGGAAGCGGAGCAGCAGGGACTCGAACCGGCGCCCATATGGGATGCCAGAGCTGCAGGCTGGGGCTCTAACTCGCTGCACCACACCACCTGTGTTAAGGCCCCTGTTAAGGCCATGTTAGAGCCGGCGCCGCGGCTCACTAGGCTAATCCTCCGCCTAGCGGCGCCGGCACACCGGGTTCTAGTCCCGGTCGGGGCGCCGGATTCTGTCCCGGTTGCCCCTCTTCCAGGCCAGCCCTCTGCTGTGGCCAGGGAGTGCAGTGGAGGATGGCCCAGGTGCTTGGGCCCTGCACCCCATGGGAGACCAGGAAAAGCACCTGGCTCCTGGCTCCTGCCATCGGATCAGCGCGGTGCGCCGGCCGCAGCGCGCCGGCCGCGGCGGCCATTGGAGGGTGAACCAACGGCAAAGGAAGACCTTTCTCTCTGTCTCTCTATCTCACTGTCCACTCTGCCTGTCAAAAAAAAAAAAAAAAAAAAAGGCCATGTTAGAGATGGAGTCTGGAGAAGTGAAGGCACTTATCAAGGGTTAGGCCTGTGCGATGCGCTGTTCTGCTGTCGCACTGTTAGGCTGTCGCACAGTACCGGCTCCAGTCGCTACCCTAATTAGAGAGGGAACCCCAACAAGCAGCCACCCCACAAGGCGGCCTAGAGCCAGGCCTTGCACCCCGAGGGGCGGGGACAACCTAGGGAAAGGCAGGGAGGTGGGACAGGGAGAAGCAGGTGCAGAACGGGCTGTGGCTATCGCAGCAAAAAGGATGGATGAGGACCCTGCCCGGGGGGAGCTCACGGACCCCCATTTGTTTGAGCATTTCCTCTGTGCTCAGGGCTCCACACGATTCCGACACCATTTCACAGCCAGAGAAAAGTTCAGAGAGGCTGAGAGACTTTCCTGAGGTCACACAGCCAGTCAGTGGGAAGTCAGTTTGAACTCATTCCCCTCTGACTTGGAACTTGCATAGCAAGCCCTGCCTGGCCTCGGGGAGGTTTAGCTTTGCCCCTGGAGCATAGTAAGTGCTCAGGACATGATCTACGCCATCCTCACGCGTTAGGAAGCTGGGGTGCACCTTCTTTGGGGCTGGCAGGATTAATTTTCCCTCCCTTGAAACAAAGGCCCTGGGGACAGAGAGCCCCACCCCCACCCTGGGCACGCATCTTCGGCAGGTGAGGCCGGGTTCAGTTTGGCTTCTCATATCACCACAGTTACAACCACAACACAAACAAACAAGAACAAGGTGGGTACCAGGAGCTGCCCACAGGGCACCCGCAAGCCCCTCCTACCAGCCGGCTCCTAAGCAGTGTGAAAGGGCTGCCACATGCCCGCATTCCTGCCCGCCTTCCAGTAGAGGGATCTTTCCAGAACCAGCTGGGTGGGTACAGAGGGGCCCCAGGGGGCAGGAAGCTTGCCACGGGGTGAGCATTGCTGAGCAGTGGGAGTGTGTGTGTGTGTGTGTGTATAGACGTGTGCCTGTGAGTGTGCCTGTGAGTGTGTATGTGCAGGTGCACCTGTGTGTGTATGTGTCTGCACATGATGGGGTTCAGACCACGGAAATGTGAAGTGGGTGGTGTTAAGAAAGGATTGGACAGTGCACCTCACCCGAGTCCCAGCTGTGCTCCGGGTGGCTCCGTTGTGTTGCAGAAAGCACTCAATTAAAGGTGGAGGCTTAAGATGAATGGGATAATCAAACATCGCCCCTGCATTTGGGGGCAAGCTGTGGCACAGCAGGTTAAGCTGCTGCTTTGATGCGGGCATCCCGTGTAGGAGTCCCTGGGTTCGCGTCCCAGCTGCCCCACTTCCCATCCAGCTCCCTGCTAATGTGCCTAGGAAAGCAGTGGAGGATGGCCCAAGTACTTGGACTCCTGCCACTCATGTGGGAGACCTGGATGGAGTTCCAGGCTCCTGGCTTCGACCTGGCCCAGCCCTGGCTGTAGCGGCCATATGAGGAACGAGCTGGCAGATGCAAGATTTCTTTCTCTCTCCAACTTTCCCTCTGTCTGCTACGCTGCCTTTCAAACACATAAATTTTTTTAGAAAGGATGTGGCTTTTTGTGACTGGCTTCTTTCATAGAGCGTACTGTTTCCAAGGCTTACCTATGTTGGTTTTTAGAAACACTTCTTCAATTTATTTTATTTGTTTGAGAGACAGAGAAATCAATCTGCTGGTTCACTCCTGAAATGCCTGCAACAGCCAGGGCTGGGCCAAGCCGAAGGTGGGAGCTGGGAACTTAATCCGGGTCTCTGACGTAGATGGCAGGGGCTCAACCACTTGGGCCAGCACCTGCTGCCTCCCAGGGTGCACGTTAGCAGGAAGCTGGCATCGGAGGCAGAGCCTGGACTTGAACCCAGGCACTCAGTGAGCTTGACAACTGCTGGGTCAAATGTCCACCCCACCCCCACCACGGTTTACAGCCCCAGTCAGTGCCATGTTATTTATTTATTTATTTATTTATTTATTTATTTATTTTTTGACAGGCAGAGTTAGACAGTGAGAGAGAGAGAGACAGAGAGAAAGGTCTTCCTTCCATTGGTTCACCCCCCAAATGGCCGCTGCGG